GCAATAAAAGATATGCTTCAGTACTGCCAAAATACGGCTTAAGTTATTTTTGGTTTTTTCCTCTCAATATCAAGAGAATTCAAACATGTTTTAGCCTGTACTCAATGTTAACCTGGGATACCTTCATCCACAGAAAACATCATTATTTGCGGGTGTTCATTTACTAGAAACATCAAGTTAACTACCAAGAACAAAGAAGAAAGAAAAAAAAAAAGAAAAATATAACATCCTCTTCCTCAAGGTAAATTTTTGCTATAAAATTACCCAAATGGGCTTGCATAGGCCACAGCTATGGACTTGTGCTTCAGTATCTTTTATAATTTCTTGCTATTCTAGGTTCAGGAAGATTGGTACCCTCATGCTTTCTGGCTTCTTGCAGCTGGAAATCCCTACTTGCAACATCTAAATGCATCACAGACTGCAGCTCTTGAAACTACAGATTACTTTGGCCAAAACGAAAATTATTAACAAAACAGTCTTAGCAGGATCTATATGCTTGGTGAAATACATCAGCTGATAAAAATAAGAGTTTTAAACACCAAGCATCAGTATTTAAAAACTGCAATTCAAAACTACATTTTCAGGTTGGTTGGGGTAGAATTCTTGACCAAATCAAACAAGCTAGAAAAGGAAGATTTACCTCTATTCTCATTTGCAAACAAACAAATGAATAAAACCAAGATTTAAGCTATCATTTCACAGTCCTTCAGGCTGAAATTCTATGATCCCTTTAAGGCAAAATAAACCACCATTGCTGTCAGAAGAATTGATTCTGTCCTCTGTATGAAGGTCAGCCATCATGCACACCCCCTTAAACCAGCACGAGTCTTAGTTCAGTCACACAGTGAACTGAATTGGGAAATTGATCCATGTTCAATTAATCAAGAAGGAAAAAAAAATCACAACTTCCTAGGTAAATACATTCAGAATTGCTTTCACCGATTCCTGATCTATCTCCCCAGTTCTCCTAAGAGAAGTGAAAATAAGGTAAGGCCACACTTGGAGACATTTCAGCAAGACACTGGCCATGCTGCTCCAGAGAAAGACCTGCCTGAAACAAAATGTTTCATGTGTGTTTTTAGTTGCGGAAGCAAAGTTGCCAAACTTTGGGCTCAGTGGGACAGACATTCAGAAAACCACTTCTGTGGGAACTGCTTCACGTATCTTACTTGTAACACATCTGGCTGAACGGACTGAGGCTATCACTTGGGTGGTCGATGTTATATAAAATGATTCATATAGTATCAAAAGCAGAATCACACAATGTTAGGGCTTGGAAGGGACCTCTGGAGATCATCTCCAACCCTCCTGCCAGAGCAGGTTCACCCAGAGCAGGTTGCACAGGATGGCATCCAGATGGGTCCGTCTCCACAGATGGAGACCCCAGCCTGTGCCAGTGCTCTGCCACCCTCAAAGTAAGGAAGTTCCTTCTCATGTTTAGATGGAATTGCCTGTGCCTCATCATCTTCAGAGCCTTTGGCTGTCCCCTCTCCAGCTGTTCCCTGTCCTTGAACTGAGGAGCCCAGAACTGGACACAGCACTCCAGCTGAAGCCTCACCAAGGCAGAGCAGAGGGGCAGGATGACCTCCCTTGACCCACTGGCCACACTGTCCTTGATGCACCCCAGGGTGCCATTGGCCTTCTTGGCCACGAGGGCACATTGCTGGCTCACGGTCAGCCTGTTGTCCAGCAGGACTCCCAGGTCTTTTCTCACAGAGCTGCTTTTCAACAGGCCAGCCCCCAACCTGTATCGATACACGGGGTTATTCCTCCCTAGGTGCAGGGCCCTACATCTGTCCTTGTTGAACTCCCTAAGGTTTCTCTCTGCCCAACTCTCCAGCCTGTCAAGGTCATGCTGGATGGCAGCACAGCCTTCTGGTGTGTCAACCATCCCTCCCAGTTTTGTGTCATCAGCAAACTTGCTGAGCGTACACTCTGTCCCTTCATCCAGGTCACTGTTGAATTGAACAGGACTGGACCCAGTACTGACCCCTGGGGGGCACCACTTGTTACAGACCTGCAACTGGGCTCCATGCCAGTAATCACAACCCTCCGAGTTCTATCTTTCTGATTAGTTTTCAATCCACCCCACTGTTCACTCACCTAACCCACACTTTCTAAGCTGGCCTCTGAGGAACATACCTTAACAATTCTCTTGTGTTATGAAATAGTTTCTGCACATCTGTGCTGTTTGGACACACAGTGTGATACAGCTGATCCTTGATCTTCAGGAGAACGCAACACATACAACTCATGTCCCAGTAGTCCAAAATCACTTTGAAGCTGTAAAACCAGTAAGACTATCCTGGCAACCATTATAAGGACAGCTTTGCTGGACTGTGCACACTCAAAAGTCATGAAGGCTAGAAGGAGCCATGAAACAGGCACAGGCAAGGCTTATACACAAAGAGAAGACAGCAAGCCTCTAAAACGTATAGGAACATCTTCACGCTATAGAAAGCAAGCTTTGCCAGTAATTAAACCTGAAATTACTTCAAATAAATCTCAAGGTTTTCACCGTGGTTTGGTGAGTCTGTCCATTTGCTACAAGCCTAAGAGTGAGCAACTTTACAGCAAGTTCTAAAAAGGTTGATGCTGTTCTGGCATGATGCAGTTCAAGAGTGAACTTTTGCAGAATTACAAATATCAACCCTGTTGTACCTGTAAGGGACTACTTGCATTCACAAACTATGGAGAGTCCCCAACAGCAGGACTGTCAGCAGTTTCAGTTCCCAGAAACTACAGATCATTTCTGCAAGACAGATGAACTCTAATATGAAGGAAAAAAAAAAACTAACAAACAAAGGCATTCCAAGATTAACAGACCTAAAAACCAAGCTCCTACACCTGTAATTGTGTAAGAAGCTGATCCTGAGTTTCAGAGAAAGATATTTTGCATTCAAAGATACTTCAGAGGGGAAGGAGCCCTGTTTTTAATTTCCTTCAATCTTCTAAAGAAGCTTATGTCAATCACAACACTGTGGTGGTCAATGCTTTCACAGGAGAGGAATAAAAGAAGAGGGCAGACTAGGGGTACTCATAACTTTTGTTACCATGGTTAAAGGGAATGAAGGACAAGCAGTGGACATGCCCTGTAAGTCCCCAGACCCAGCTTGAGGAAATACACACACAAGAGTGCAAAACTGATTACGGACAGGCACACAGAAGACAAATTAAAATCACAACTATCTTCTATCATATTCATGAAGAGAAACTACAAAGTCAATCCCTTTGAGGCTTTAGGACAGACACCAAGATGATATTTCCAACCTAGCTAATCGTTCTCTAAGTAAGGCTCCTCCTGGACTACTGCATTTTTCAGACAACAGTCTATAGACAGACTAGGACCCATGTCAGACCAGAAGGATCACAGAATCATAGAATGGCCTAGGCTGGAAGAGACCTTAGAGATCATCTAGTCCAACCCTCCTGTCACGGGAAGGGACTCTTCTCAACTAGAGCAGGCAACACATGGGGACCGAACGGGCATGAAGACTATTTCTTTGTCAGTTTAGCTCTGTGAATCCTCAAACTCTGGCATTGCTGACCTTGGTATTTTTACATGTAGGGAGGACTCTTCATGTCACAGAGCAGCCTATCACTAGGTAAAAGCACAAGCTGTGAGATCAATTGCCCCCAGGATGAAACACAGAATGAGCTGGAAGTGACCTTAAAAGATCATCTAGTTCCAATCCCCCTGCCTTGGGCAGGGACACCTCCCACTGGAGCAGGTTGCTCAAAATCTCATCCAGCCTGGTTTTAAACACTTCCAGGGATGAAGCATCCACAGCTTCTCTGGGCAAGCCGATCCAGTGTCTCACCACTCTCACTGAAAACACCTTCTTCCTAATGTCTAATCTAAATCTACCCTGCTCTAGTTTAAAACCCTTTTCCTTTGTCCTGTTCACCACATGCTCTTATAAAGAAGAGAGCTAGAAAGAGAGGCCTCATGCAAAATACATTTTCATTTTTTATTTTAAATTATTTTTCACTTCTAAAAACTCAAGTAGTATTTATATTTGGTACTTCTGCAAGGACTACACACAAATTGCTTTTTAAATTCTACAATTAAAAATTAAGATAAAAATCAGACTATGGTTAAGACTAGGGGTGACCAGAATTGCTATTCATGACCCAATTTCCAAGGGACAGGTCTTTACCAACATATCTGAGGACCACCTATAACATGCCCTCTACTTTCCAATTTTAAAATCTGAATGGATTTTTTCCTGCGCAATTACACAATTCCAATATGCTTCATGCCTAAGAATTGCACCACAATGAAGGATAGACTACATGCACAGAGATTTTTTAATTTAAACTCTTGTGAATTCAAAGTCTGAGACTTCATACTTCAACACTACTGTCACAACGTAGTCAATAAGAGGCTACACATTAGCTTCCAGTTAAAGACTGAAGAAATACTAATAAATGTATGAGATCTGACATGAAGCCTTTAAAAAAATAAATAAATAGTGGCTTTTCAAACTCAGGTGAATTCACACTGGGTCACATTAAACAAGAACATCAGGTTTTGCCTCAAAGTCTCCTTTCCATCATGGGAACAGAGCTCACAGATTAAGATATTAATCTTGCATTCTTGTAGCTATATCAAAGTTGGTATGTAAAAAAGAATTGCTATCCATTTCTTGAATACTTTCCTTTAGAAAGAACAATATTGGAAGTGCCACCTCCTTCAGAGGCATCAGTTATGTAACAGCCAGCAGAGTCAACAACACAAACCCATTTTATTTTTTAATGGAAAATATGTATCGTTACTGAAAAAATATTACCATTTAAAAAAAAAAGTATTACTGAAGCTGCTAAAGATGGCAAAAGTTTTGTTTACCACCAAAAAGTGCAATTCAATTTGAACAGTGAGCCACCTGAAATCAGACTTTGTAGTTTCCCTAAGTACATTTCACGTCCTCTGTAATTCAGCTGCTACCTCTGTTATAACATTGTGTTAACTCAAAGAAAACAGACTGTTTTCCTCTTACCTCTCTGCCGGACTTTGCTGGAATCTGCCCTTGAGTCTCTCTCAATTTGCGAGCATTCTCAAGTTCTGCCTGAAGCTTTGAAGCCAACTCCTTCAAAGAAAGTGGCAGTACTCCGTTAGTTTAACCATTTTAAACTTTGAGACCTTTGCATTAGAATAAACTATTCATTCCATTTCTTCATGTTTTTTTATTATTTTTTTTTAAATTCTAATGACACAGAAGACTGAAGAAAACATGTCAACAGAATTCACACAATTCTTTACTGGAGATAAAATTTAAAAAACACCCATTCACAACAGAGGCATCTGAAGTATAGAAACACACACTGTCCTAAAAACACCAGAAAAAATATGCTTAAACATTATTAAGTTATATTAATAAATGCTTTTTTGCAGCTAAGCATAGATACTAATTTAAATACAGGAAGCTAAACAAGGAAGCCTGAACACATCAAGCATATAACCCTTCCAGGTTATGCTACATATTCTTTTATTTATTTATTTATTTATTTAGGTATATATATATACACACACAGGCACACACCCACATACATGCATGCAACAAGTCTAGGGAAATTGCTCTCAGACATTTTTGCTATGCAGTTTCACATCTCTCTACACCTCATGTCCAGCTTCAGCACTTAAGACCTGACTTTGGGTATTAAAATGGCAAAGAGGTGGAAAACTGCTTCAGTCTGTGTAAATTGTTCCTGATGCTACTGCTCTGTCATCCATCAGTTTATCAAATAAAAACAAGCGTTTCAGAACACCTTGCTTTGTGAAGAACTTCCAGGTGACAATCTATGAACCTATAAGAAATACAACTATTTATTCTCTGACCACTTTGCCAGTTTCATTGATTGGACTCCAACAACCACGTCTCTACTCACTGCCCCAAAATTAAGTTATCTGATCAACATTAAGCACCAAGGCAGTAACAAAAATATTCACTTGTCCCACATGGTCAACCTTGAGCTCCAGCCACCAGGACATGCTGTTACATAACCATCTGTTCTGGTGTGTGGGGATGAACTCGTTTAAAAAGCTGCTTTGACAATCTGATCAGAGAAATTTCATGAAAAAACATTTCAAGAGCAACAAGGTAAAGATCAGTTAATTTATTATTTATACTGCGGTTTGTTGTTGACTGTGTTGTTTACGTTTTTTTAACTAGCCTAATTCAGATTGCATATGTAGAATAAACATATATATAAAATTAACAGTAAAATTGTCTTGGTGGTTTCTGCTATGTAATTTTGGTCAAAACAAAGCAACATGGTAGAATAATAAAACAACCACATTCATCCCAAATAACACCTATGCATTTTTATTCAAACTACTCTTATTTAGTTACTGTCAGTTTGAAAATTAAAAACCCACATTTGAGCCCAAACTTTTATTTGGATGATGTTATTGAAGCTAAGCAGTAGAAAAAAAAATAGTTTAAAAAATTTGCTGCTTTCTATGACAGTCTTGGAAAACTTATCCCTCCCTACTATTTTAAAGCAACTAGTGTGCAGACAGCTTCAATTATTTTTACCTTCCCTCTATGGAAAAGTTTTTAAAATAACATCTTAAATTACTAACACCAGTCCCTCACAAACCTATCATATAATCACATTCATAAACATTTTTTCCTCACTAGTGTATTTCTTTGTATATTAACTAGGAAAACTACATATTAAAAAATGGAAGCATCAGTAACACACACTATATCTTAACAGAGAACACACTGCTTGAAGTTACTTTTAATTCATTTTTGAAGTTGACAAGATTTTAAATGGACAGGACTTCTAGAAAAGGTGCATATGTTTAAAACTTGTAAAGTTACATACACACATCTTTGTCTAAAATCTGTGGAAAAAGAATTCATAACATAAAATTCATTTGAAAAAAATATAAAATGGACACTCTCATAACAAAAACTAATTATGTGACAGGGACTTTGACAAAGACCAACATCATGTCCTAATTCAGCAATAAATTCATATACCAAACACCCTAAAACTTTTCACAAATCAAAGAATAAATGACTCTCAGGAAATTTTAATTGGTGCTTCCAGTCATAACATTAATTCTTAGTGATGCAGATTTTGGTGCAAACATTCTGGCACAAGAGGCAAAGTAAATAGCTGCACCAGAAATTAATCTTTAAAAAAAATACAAAGGTCCATAGTGATAGGACTCACGTGGAAAAAAAAATGTTATTTTATTATAGCCTTCAAAAAATTCCAGCAATATCTCCTTAAGAGTAGTTATTCAGAGTAAGCTTCAAAGCTAACACACACTGACCTTGTCATAACTGAAACTCCCAGGCAGCACCACTGAATGTAATTAACTCACTATAGCCATACTGGAAGTAATTAAAAAAGTATGTACTTCCAGAGTTTAGACTGTTCCAAAAGCGTGAAACTCTTGACCCTTCCGGTGGCTGTCTGAAACCAGCCTCCGACGGCAATACAAAGAGTGCAGCTGCTTATGGCAGCTCTGTGGACTCGGCCTCATTCAGGGCAGGCGTTTGGTGGAGCTGAGCACCAAGCGTGACAAAGCTGTTGTCATCGCACAGCTGGACGCAACAGGCTATGCAGTTCCCTTCAGTTTCAGATTTCCAGATCATAATTAGTTAGCATGCTTGTACAGCAGAGCTACAGACAACAAGCACCTGCTCGCGACAAAGTTCATGGAATAACCAAAGCTCCAGATACTACCTTGTAACACAGACTGGAAATTTTTGCAGTTTTCACTTGCTCCCTGCTTAATAAAAAGACATTAAATCCTACCAAAAAAACCGCAGAGAACCACTGGTTTTGGATATGCAGCCTAGTCTACAAAACCTGGGGATGTGAATCCTCTATTCTTGTCTATAAACCATTGCATTTAAAGCGGAAGTTACTGTAAAAGCAGTATCTTCAAATCCTACTTGATCAAATTTTGAAGTACTTTATCTGCTTGAATCAATACCTTTAAATCACTGAAGTCTTTAAAGAAAAACTGCAGGAAAGCGTGACAATTTTTCAAAAATATTACCATGTCTCCCATGAGTTCTGCTTTCACAATCCTCGCTCCCAGCCTGTTCATCTCCTCTTCACTAAGGACCCGAGGCAGCTCATCCTTTGAGGTATATCTGTAAAACATCAGCAGCACTAAACCCACAGAAAAACAATGTAGTATTCACCTGTGTAATTAAGTATTATATGCCCACTGTACTGGTACATTTGCTCCTACTGTCAAAATAATGGATAACTACATACTTTAAAAACATATTTGCAGTCAGAAGTCGCCTAAGACTGAGACTAAAAATATCAAATAAATTTTGTATGAGGTATGTTTCCTTTTCCTTTCGAGATTAATTAAAATGAAAAACACTCTCTACGAACATTTCCTCAGCATGAAAAAAACAGTCATGAATCGGTAGCAGGTATAAGCAGGCAAAAAGCAAGGAAAAGATGAGCAGAAAGAGTAATTTAAACCTACTCTAATTCTCCTTTTTGGCTTTGGTTATGCTTTCGCTTCTCAGCTCCAGCAAAATCTCCCATTTCCCAGTACTTCTCCTGTACACCAGCTGACCACCATCTCCTGAAAATCGCTTATACACCCTGCCCACAGTACAATCCACTTCTAAAGACATTATGCCTGGTATGCTAGAGCTTCCTTGGAAATTAACTGGTGTAGTTTTTAAAACATGAACTCTCCCTAGAGAAGCTACAGCTAGTAATAAATACTACTGTATCTTAATTTTAGTATTGAAAGGTCAGTGCATGAGTTCTTATAATAATAAACAAGGTCTCTAAGAATTATTGCAAAAAGGCCTCAGACAAGTGTGACTCTTTTTTCTTTAACTCTAGGAAAGACTAAATCAAATGAAGTCTACAAGTAAAATACCGAACACAAGAGAGACACGAGACTACAGTTATGATATTGGTTCCTGATACTAAAGGGAGAGAGAGAATTCACCCACTACTCGATACAGTTAAACCCTGTAAGATTTGAAGAACAGGAAAGCTTGGGGGTCATCTTTAACTGCCAGATCTCCCCAGCCCTGAGGAAATTACCAAAGCTACTTTTCTCTGTTTTGAAGGTGCCCAATCCAAAACCCAAAAGCACAGCAGAAGCATTTACGTTAACTTCACCAGAAATAAACCCCTCAAAGATGAAGGTCACACTTCTCCTCAACCTATGTTTCAAAACAAAGCAGGCTATTTCAGAAGGAACAAGAGGTGTTTATTGCCTCATGCACCCTTTTTCTAAGACATCCCAACGCTGGAATAATTGTCTGAACTTTTTGAAACTAGAGACGTTGTTTTCATTTGCTTTTGATCTTGACTCAGATTAAACTTTGAAGCAGACACATTATCAAGTGTGATTCTGAGTAAACTCTAACTGGATGGACTTTTTCTCTGGGGAGATCCCTTGGACATCCAACCAGCACTTTTAATTAACTTGTGTCATAACTGTCCAAAACACTTTGATTTATAGGCTGAAGAAACTCCCTCTGTGTTTTAGAAGAGACAAAACTTAAAAGGTACATTGTCAGCATGAGAGATGAGGAACTGAACCAGCAACACCTATTAATCCAAGCCTTCATATCAATGAAGACACACTTTTTGTGACTGACAACACCACCGAAAGAGTATATGTATTACTTGAAACTTTAAGAAGTAAAAGAAAACAGTAACTTATCAGTTATTCCCAACAAATAACTATATATTCAAAGCTGAAATGCTCTGAACACCAGAAATTTCTACCAATTTCTATCAGAAGAAGACAATTCTCACTGAAGGAAGGAGGAAGACAGGTCATACACTATCCCAAAACCACAGAGGCTAAGATTCAGCTTAAAAGAACATAGAAGTAAGTCAATAAGCTGAAGCTATATGGTTTTCCAGGCCTAAGTAATCTCCACTTTACTAAAAAATCACCTCAGTAATTGTTTTGGCTAAGAAATATAATTAAAATATCAAAGAATGTGCACAATTGAGTTTAACAGTACTAAACCAGAAAACACATGCAAAAGAAAATACTAGCTAAACAGCTTCTATCCTCAGTTCCCTTCTGTAAGGAAAATAAAAGAATTATCTTTTCTATCATAATAATTGAATTCTTTGAACTTAAGTAAGTAAACCACTTCCATACAAAATCTAGTTTTCCAGAATTTGCAGCTCTGTCCAGCTACAATTAGCACTGCACTTACTACATGTAAAGCTAAACGTACAGGTTTTATGCTCACAACAAATAAATAAAAAATCACCACCATCATTTAACACACACAAAAAAAAGACTGTAAAGGAGTAGTTGCTTTTAAGATAACAAAACTAAGGCAATGGTATCACTAGCTTCTACTCAATAATTACATGCTCTGCCAGGCCTGGCTGATTTGGAGTTTGTGTTCTTCCCAGCAGCCGGTAGGGTGCTGCGCTTTGGACTCAACTGGTGACGCTGTTGATGGCCCACCAGTATTTCAGCTGTTGCTGAACAGTGCTTACACAGCCTCAGAAGGCTTCCTCTGGTTGTCACTGTGCAACCCCTGCAAGTTGGCTGGGGTAGGCAAGGGGCTAGGAGGGGACACAGCCCCGACAGCCGACCCAGTCTGGCCAAAGAGCATTTGCACGCCACGTAACACCGTGCTCCGCAAGAAAAGCTGGGGAGTGAAGGCCTTCCAAAGCAGCCGCTGCTCAGGGACTGGCTGGGCAGCAGCCTGCGCACGGCAGGAGGTGAGTGACTGACAGACAGCCTTTGCATCATTGGTTTCTGTCTCTTTCCTCCCCTTGTCAAGCTGTCTTTACGCTACACATAGTTTTTTCTCTCTTTTGCTCTTCTGATCCACTCTGAAGGAGGAAGAATGAGCAAACAGCTGAGTATTTGCTTAGTTGCTTGCTGGAGTCAACATGCCAAGAGTAACACTCACCTCTACCCCTTCCACCACACCACAGAAAAAACAAACCAAAACAAAGCAAAAAAAAACCAAAAAAAAAACAGGAGCTTCTTAACAGGGTGAACTTTTTTGGAGTGTACATTTGTCTTTTCATGGAGCCTGTGCCAGAGCTGCAGCACAGATGCACTCTCCCAGCTCACCAGAGCATCCCTCATTACATGAATATATACGTTTCCTTATGGAAACCAAGACGCTATCCAAGGCTGGCAGAAAACATCTGCAGATTGCGCAGACCCTGTACCTGAAAAAAGTCATGAACAAACCAGAACTCAAGAGCTGAGTTTCACAGGCTCCGACTAATCATTCTAATCAGAAGTTTACAAAGTGCATTTAAACCATAGGCACTTCAGGGCAGTAACTATTGGGGCACTATCTAGAGAAAACAAAGAGCATCACGAAATTCAAATATCTACCAACATCTCATACATCACAGGTTTAATGCAATAAGATCTTTTTTTTCAGAGTAAGTAGAACAACTATAAAGATACATTTTTCATTTTCTGACAAAATAAAACCTAGACAAATACTAAAATACACAATAAACAAGACATGACACACCCTTACAAGTGGGATTTCCCATAGTACACAGAAACTGTTTGTGCAGGAAGCAGGAACTACTGCTGCCATAATGCATACTCAAACTCATGCTTTTTAAAGAAATAAATAATTAAGTGAACATCATGCAAGCAGTTTATCTTCCTGCTATCAAAGAAAATGTAAATTTAATTGGATCCTATCAAAGCAGAAAATACAGCAAGTAAAATCTAGAAAAAATACCCAACCTGTACAATATAAAGAATTGTGTAGAATAAGCTGCCCGTTTCTGGTTACTTATGCAGTATTCATGTAACATACAATTTTTCTTTGCCAACACAGCAAGGTACCAGCAAATACTATATGAAGGAACAGCTATAAATAAAATTAACACTTTCAAGTTATTGTCTTGCTATTAGAATCCAACAATTAAACAATTTTTTTTCTGCAAATAACTGACATAAGCATATTAGAAAGAAGGAATTACACTTTATCCAGCTTTCCCAAGCATTTAAGTAACACCAGTCTGACTCTAAAGTACTTTTGCCCATGCACCTATTACTGGGAAGACCTGAAGCAAAGCATTCACATTAAAAATCGCACTGCCCCTATCACTGGAAGAACTAGCAAGCTGGTCATACTGGAGAACAGGCAGCCTCGAGTAGAGCAAAAGCTCAGTTGTTAACAACTTAATTTTCCAATCACCTCTCCTTACTCCTCTCTGCTGTCTTTCACTAAAGCAAGCCAGGCACACTGAAATTCCTACCACAAATTAGTTTACATTTACCTTGCAACTCCTATTCATCTTTCCTCTTTTCCACACAAAATGCACTTTTCTCATCTAATAGCTCTATTTTTCATATGCTACTACTTTAACACAGGAGTTCATCTCACAGGTGGCAAATCTATCCCTGCTGTATTAATTATTTCAGTTTTTAGTCAGCATTTTCTAACATTTCAAGTCTGTCTTTATAAATTCGACAACAGTTAAGATGTTGTTTTGCAGAGTTTTTGCCCAAGAGGCCAATTTTGCTGCAGTGTGAACTAAGATTAGAAGGAACCAGAAAATAATATATCACAGCAATTCTCAAATACGCTGAGAAGCCAGGATAAGAAGGGGATGTTCATTACTTCTACAGTAATCCGTTCTCACTGCCCCTGCCTGGGAGGCTGGCCTCTGTCTAACTAAAGAGATCTGATATGATCAGATCTAACTCTGTCACAAAGACAGAATTTGTAAAAAAAACACATGTAAAACATAGCAAATAAAAGACAAATAAAGATGTTTATAAAATACCTAGAACATGACATTTTACTGTCAGATAATGTTTCCTTCTTCTCAGGGATACTGCTTGGGTATTCCTGTCGCGACTTCTTCTCTTCATCACCTGGAGTTCCTTCCGAACTACTGTCATCAGTTTGTTCCCTAGTTCCAGATGATTTTTGATCAGACATTACTTTCTCGCTGTTTTCTTCCCTGTGTGTTTTGGTCCACAGTCCAGTATCCTCACCAGGTTTTTGGAAACGGCTGCTCAAAGAGCTATGAACCGGCAGTTTGGATGAGGACTGCTGTGACTTGTAGTCTCTAGGTGCACTATAAGATGATAAGTCATCTTCAGAGGGTTTCAGAAACTTGTGTTTCACATTGCTTAGAGATGAACTCTTTTCCTCACTTTGTTTCTCATTGGAGTGCTTTTCTGTTTTGGACCTGTAGCCTCTCAATATTGAGTCTGTGCTACTGTGTCCCCGTTTTTGGTCTTCTCTTAACATATTGCTTTTGTAACCTTTGTCTTCTTGTGCCCATCCCCTGTCATACTTCCCCCTCGTATAGCCCCCAAACATGTTCCTATCACCTTCATCTCGTGTCTCCTTTTTCACATGCTGTTCTTTCTTCTCTCTCTCACTTTCTGAATAGTCGGTTTTCTTCCATCTTCCACTGCTATAATTGTTCTCCTTTCTGGATGCAACTTTTTCAGCTTCTGCTAAACGTGACTGAAACGCCTCCATTGACTATAACAAAGAATAAAGAAAAGTCATACTGCTTTTAAGATCATGGTGTATTGTGAAGCTCCCTACGAAGTATTGCAAGAAAGGCACCATGCAGGGAAAACGAGTCACTGTGCAAAGGGCAAGGCACGAGCTGTGTAGTGGAAAGGAAGACCAGTACAAAAACAGTGAACTTACAGCCTCACACCTAAGATGCTTAGTTAAGAAGGCTTTTTGATCCCTCCTCTGGGACTATTTCTAACTTCCAGCCCCGAGCTCTGAAGTAAAGTGCTAAAGCACTCCCGAGGACAGGACCGGAGACTCAGAGCCGTCTCTCCCGGCAACCTGGAGATTACAGGTTTCAGCTGGGGTTAGAGGCTTCTGCTTTCTTACTTATTAAACTCTGCATTTACATTCACCAGATGCTCAGCTTGTATAGAACCAGAGGATGTTCCCATTAAACCACTTCACAATCTAGTTAAACTCTTAAAACAGGAGAGTGGGTTCAAAATCTTTAGCTTCAAATAGGCTTTGAGCCCCTGTGTCTCTTTTTCTGGATAAACATTCTATCCATTAGGACAATTATGCAATAATGAAAATCTACCAATTACTTTTTTTTTTGTTTGGCTGGTTTGGGTTTTTGTGGTGTGCAACAGTACACACAGATGCAAACCAGGCAGGAATCTCCTTCAGTCACTATCCTGCACTTCAGCAGCCAGAGTGGTTCATGCTGTTTGAACTCTAGTTTCTTGAGAGAGATTCTAAAAAATAATAATAATCTTTACAATCACTGGCACTGACTAATTTCTACCAGCACTTACCACATTGGTTTCATCACTCAGCAGAAACTACAATTCAGTTCCAAGACAAGATTATGAAGTCATATTGTCTTGTCCAACATTTCTACACACAAACCAGCCAAATCAAAAAAAAAACTCACAGAAAACTCAAATGTAACACTCTGTCCAGGATTTAACATCCCCTTTGACCGCTGCTTTCAAAAACAGTAATATATTATTATGTGGGGGGGCAGGCTTTAAAGAGTTAGTATTTTCAGGGCAGACTGTTTTATTAAAAATAAATTTTGAGGACTTTTAAACTGTTCAGAAGCAAGCAGATTTCTCAATATATCTGGACTGAACAAATCACAAGTTGCCAGAAGATTCATATCTGGTAAATTTTGACACAGCTCTCCAAATTATTTTGGCATTACTGTTGTTATCCACAACGCGCATTATTATCTGCTACATGTAGGCCAAAAAATAATATTTTCTATAATAAAATATATTTTCTATAATCTTTCATAATTTTGGAGGCAGTCAGATACTTTGTAACTTCGAACCTCCTGATGTAGAAGATAAGCATTTTAAATTTGCTACCGGGTCCCATATATTTAAAAATATTTATCAGAAAACGTTATAAAAGGCTGGGTAGCTTTAAACTCTTCAGTGCTTGAGAGAAGTTTCAGAGGCTGCTTTTATTTGCTTCTTTCCTTAGGTCTTACACTACACATTAAGTAACTGTACCTTTATATGAAACTAAGCTTTTCCAAGCATCTAGTGTTACAAAAAAAAAAAATTTACTGAAGATCCTTACCCCATATCTTTCTGCTACAATTTCCTCAAAATTTCGTTTCTCTCTCTCAGCCTGCTCCTTCATCCTTTGGTACGATTTTCGCAACCAACTTAATCCAGCATCTTCTACCACTGTAACTGAAGTAGAAAACAATGAGAGGTCACAGTTTTCTATCTCAGTAGTTATTTGTTTAACCTAACCCTGTACATGACATTAAACCTTCAACTAAACTTAATGTAAAAATTGAAAAGGCAAAAAAGAAAAATGGAAAGGAATATAATAATACAATTACATGTCTTCTTAAGTTAATGCTGGTAATACCACTGATTTAATTCAAGCTTCTCCATTTTACCATAGAACACAATGAGCAGTTTCCAGGACACCCGTTGCATATGAGAAGTTGTCCGGGTTTTTAGGAAATTAAAGAACCTTCTTATTGTTTCTGCTTTCTGTGTCCATCCTGTGGCATATCCCTTACACACGAACAAGTGCATTCTCCTTCTCAGAAAATTAATGACTAACCCATTGCTTTCCATCTGAGAAGGTAGGAGAGGTCGTAACACTCGGGACAGAGACTCGCTGACGCCTGTCAGCTCATACAAATTGCTGATCTCTGTGACTCCTAGAAGTAGGCATGAGGCTAATGGTTTGCAGGACCCTGCTGGTCCCTCTTGACAAAATACAAGGACCCTTCTTATCACATAATAAATGCTTCATGACATTTTGAAAAACATTTTTCTAACCACTCTTGCTGGAAATAGGCAGGATAACCCCTGGGTGAGGAAAAAAGTGAAAAGGTTAAAGAAATAGTATTTTTTCACAAACTGCATCTGTAATGTACTTAATTTTAATGTGACTCAGACTTCTGTGGTTGAATATTTTAAAACTATAATTTGTGTAATGGAATGAAAGGAACCAAATGAGCTGACAACAATTTATCTTGTCGTAGTTAAATCACGCTTTCCTTTAATTAGTTCAAAATGGAGAATTTCTGTAAAGATACCAAAGGTCAAAACACTCAAGATTAAAAACCAGTGAAGAGAAATTCTGCGAAACGACATACGATGATATTAACCCAATATTCACTATCAAATTTTCATTGAGATTTTACTTTAGTACATGTTATTCGTAATCTCTTTATATCAATATTAGTAGTAACTTTTAGCAACACAAAGATCAGAGACTGAAGACAGAAATTTAAGATTATTACTAAAAATTGATGTTTACCTTTCTTAACTGAAGCTGCTTCATCCTTCTCTGGTGGCAAACCTGTACCACCATCCTTCCAATAGGGATTGAGCTCTCTTTCAGAAAGCATGGCCTAAAACAGAAATAATTTTAATGTAGCACACAGCTTGTATTTTCTAGAATATTTGATAAATTTCATGAGACTGATGTGGGAACAGAACGGCTCACTCAAAAGTTATGTTTACTTCTACTTGTCTTTAGATAGCACAACTCTCCATCCTGAGTCAAAACTCGCAAATGTGTGCTTAGCTGGTGCCCGTATTACACAGAAGCGGTTTTACTGTTTGATTGCATTGCCAGTGCAGCAGTAATACGCACTTGCAATCAAAACGCTGCTGTTCGGGGGGCTCTTAGTTTCACCTCAAGCTACTGCTTTTCACCCTCAACCTAGATCGTTTGTTGTAATTCTGTCTACTGACTTCCCTGGCAGCCCACTGGAGAAAATGGTTGATTAGACCAAAATTTTGAATTTGTCTATATTATACCATCAACTCATCACCACCACTGCATGCTGTACCCATCTGCTGTACACACTCTTTTGGGTATCAAAGAAAGGACAGACATTCTGGTGTAGAATACATAAAGCTATAAAACTTCATGGAGAGCAAGTGGCTGGGTGAGACAGTCTATAAAAGTAATCTTTCTCTAGGATCAAGAATACATATAAATTGTCATTAACCATACAATAGCATGCAGATATTCTGGTGATTTCAGATCTCCTCATTAAATGGTCTTTTTGCAGCTCAGAAAAAACGTTCAGCACAAAATTATGCGGGGGAAAAATAAAAAGGATTAATCTCTTCACAAAAGATATTCATCAAGGTGCTGCAGAGCGCTCCAGGTCAGTGTGGGTCCCAGCCACAGCACAACTAACTTGAAAGCCTGAGAGCAGCAAACAGGCCTACTGTGAGTTGTGAGGGCAAGTAAATATCAGAAAGTGATTAGCAACTACATTTTTGGATCAGATTACATTACATTTAAGGAGATGAATGAACAAATGAATCAGCCAGCAATTGTGTATAAACAGAACTAATTTAATCACAGCAACCCCATGTGCCAGTATAGGTTGGGGTCCGACGTGATGGAGAGCAGCGCAGGGGAAAGGGACCTGCGGGTTCTGGTGGGCAGCAGGATGGCCATGAGCCAGCAATGTGCCCTCGTGGCCAAGAAGGCCAATGGCATCCTGGGGTGTGTTAGAAGGGGAGCAGCTAGTAGGCCGAGAGAGGTCCCCTGTTGAGCCCACATCTGGAATATTGTGTCCAGTTCTGGGCCCCTCAGCTCAAGAGAGACAGGGAACTGCTGGAGAGAGTCCAGCGCAGAGCCACAGAGATGATGAAGGGAGTGGAACATCTCCCTCATGAGGAAAGGCTGAAGCAGCTGGGTCTCTTTAGCTTGGAGAAGAGGAGGCTGAGGGGTGACCTCATAACTGTTTATAAATATGTCAAAGGGGAGTGTCAGGAGGACGGAGTCAGGTTCTTCTCAGTGATGTCCAATGACAGGACAAGGGGCAATGGGTACAAGCTGGAGCATAGGAGGTTCCAAAAAAATATTAGGAAAAACTTTTTCACTGTGAGGGTGACAGAGCCCTGGCACAGGCTGCCCAGGGAGGTTGTGGAGTCTCCTTCTCTGGAGACATTCAAAATCCACCTGAACGAGTTCCTGTGTGACCCACTGTGGGTGACGCTGCTCTGGCAGGGGGGCTGGACTAGATGATCTTTTGAGGTCCCTTCCAATCCCTGACATTCTGTGATTCTGTGAACCCCTTCCCCAGCTGGACCCTGATCCTCCCACGTGTTCATGCTCTACTGTGGCACGAAAGGCACAGCGACTGCTCTGAGTTCTTTCTTCAGGGGGGACAAAAAAAAAGGAAAAAAAAAAAGCCTCAGCAGCCTATGCTTTAACACAGTAACTGTGGTAAGCTTTTACCACACAAAACAATGGTGCTCCTTTCGCACACACCATGGGAAAGACAGCCAGATCAATGCAGTGTTGTTGTTATTAAGTAAAACATCCCAGAAGCCCTTCAAATATTACATAACATAGTACTAACACAACTGGCTTTCTCCTTACCTAGAATATAGTTTAACAGCTTTTCTCCACAAGATAAGCCTGCTGTATGAACCCTTCCCATCCTGAATAAATAACTGAAGCATTTAATTAAAATTACTATCACACAACGCATCAGGCATTAGTTTAAAAATCATACAAAGACTAACATCCTTAAATCAATTCATTGGTTCACTCATTACACAAAATTTAGTAAGACACAGAAAAAAGTTAATGTATTAATTTCTCCTACCTGCTCCAGTTCTTGAGCTTTCTGTCGTTCCAGTATTTTTTCTTTGTGTCTTTCACCTCTGACAGCTGCTGCAGATGTAGTTTTTAATGACATGAAGTCTAAATTCATCCATTCTTCTCTCTTTAAATCAAACACAAAGAATCAGTGTTCATACTTCCAACAAAAATATGCATCAGGTACAAATCAAACCAGTGCAACTACTGACAAATGGTTGTGTACAATAAAGAGTGAGAGTTTTACAAACATATATGAAACACTTCAATGAAAAGTAAATATGATTTTAGGAACCCAAATCTTTCATTTTTTTAATATTCACTTATGTAAATTTCATAAATGTCTCTCTAGTCTGAAATACACCTTCACAATGTATTAAAGACACCAGTAATCATGCAAAACATACATACGGCTTATTATTTGTTTAAACGAGCTGTACACCTAGACCAATTCCTTTTCATCTTGCTAATTTTGACTTCATGACCTCTTACACATCTTCTAGTAAATATAAAAAATGCAATCAGTAGCTGAGCACAGTTCATCCCACCGGCACTAAATGCACCCTTGAATGAAACACTTAGACGTCTAAATTCTATGAGCTGAACTCACAACAACAGATAGAAAACCACACATACAAAACCTAAGAACATTTTAAAAATGAGGACTACTCTCTAAAGAAAAGCAGCAAATAAAAGCCTAGATATACCTACTATTTTTATACACACAAAACGTGAAGCCTCAAAAGAAAGCAGTGGCATACACATCATAAACTTCTCTACAAAAACAACCACTGCAGCACGTCTGTGGATAGTATAGCAAGCAAAACGACAAGACTACAACTATTTTAAAACATGTCCTTGCAGAAGAGCCTTCCTATCTGCAGTAAGGTTCAAGTCTGGGCTGTCAATCCAAACAGATGTCGTATGTCCCACTTCTTTTTGTATTAGGCCACACACCAGAAAGTTTCAGAGTTGAAACACAACGTTTCACTTCTCAGATCTCCTCTAAGAGAAGGAAGCGAAAAAGAATCTGTCTTCAAGGGATTCAATAGTATCTATTCCCACATTAGCAAGCAATGGGATCGACAGAGGTCGATACACATGGGACTCGTGGAGGTCACCTGGCCCAACTCCCCCTCATCCAGCAGGGCCACCTAGAGTCAGCTGCCCAGGGCCGTGGCCAGATGGCTTGTACCCGTACGCAAGGATGGAGATCCCACAGCCTCTGCAGGTAACCTGTGCCAGGGCCTGGACATCCTCACAGTAAAATACCGCTTCCTGACATTCACACAGAAATTCCTGTGTTTCAGTTTGTGTCCATTGCCTCTCATCTTGTCACTGGGCACCAGTGAAAAGAGCCTAGCCCCGTCTTCTACACAGGCTTCAGATTTGTAGTTTGGGGATATCTTTTAATTTATTTTTTTTTCTGTAGGTAAGCATGCTGGACTAGTCCAAGACTGGTCCCATGGAGCACCTTAGGTGCACTTGGAGAACATATCCTCCAATTTAGTTTAATCCAACTGGAAATGGATTTACATGCTCTAAGACGTCTTCATAATGCATGTCAAAATACAAAATATTGGGATAGTCAGGAAATTCCGTTCTAAAGCACAGTATTCGTCCAAAACCACAAGAGCCTAGGATACACATACAAGAAATTATTCAAAAATACCTGGTTTCGCAGTATAGATTATCATTATATATATATAAGGATTTATATTTCACTGACTACATGAGGATTTATATTTCATTGTCTGTAAAACAGGTTTTCTTCAACACATTGCAAAAGAGCCGTTAAGAAACCCAAGCACGTTTCACATTTGGTCATGCTGAATTTATTTCTGGAATAGTTATCAGACTGCTCACCTGCAGTGAGGGCTCTTTCACAGCATCTGATTGCTTGTTGACCTTCCAAGCCTTTTCTGTATTATCTGAGTGTGACACATTTGATTCAACCCATTCAACCGAAGAATCCTAAAAATAGTTTAATGTAAAGAATAATAATAGCACCTTGGCATACTATTATACATTGATAAAATGCAATACTTACCAAGTATACTGCTAATTAAAATTGATCCCGATTAGCATTACTAATATAAAGCTGTTTATTATTTTAAAATACTGATAATAAAAATAGAATATTGATATTTTCACATAAGATTGTTCCTTCATGATCAAAACATTCCACCAGACTTCATAAGCACATCACAGTATGTGGCACTGGTTCATACTGGCAGCTTATTAACATAACACTGCTGAAGTTAAAAATGTCAGAATAAAAAAAAACCCAAACACAATTGTTTCTATGGCTTTAGAAAAACAAACCTAAAAAAATCTAAATTAATTGTATGATCCTCTGAATCATTACTAAATATGTTTTACATTAAAAAAGTAAAAACAGTAACACAGTACAATATAAAGTGCTGTGCATGCTACCTCCTCCTGTTTTCATACCCAACTTCCTACACTTGGCAAACAGCATGCTGAGATTTTACACTTCAAGCTAAAGGACTCAGTTGGACAGATTTTTACATGTATCTATCAGGGGAACAACAGACTTTGTATCAAAGATATCAGCCAGGACTGTACTGTATCCTAGGAGTCACTGATGTGATCTGAGGGGTTTTGATGACACCCATGGGAAATGAGGGACATTTGTGCCTTAGGTCACTTCCCACACTGAAAAGCAGAGGTCACCTCTGATATCAGAACGCGGAAAATAAATGTCATCCTACTGCATGTTCATTCACTAAATAAAAGAGACTCCTTGAAAAAAAAAAAAAAAGAAGTCACAGTGCTACCTGACTCTCACCAAAATGTTTTGCGCAATGGGGCCAGAAAGCAGCACCCAGACTTCCGACGCAGTCTCTGTGCTGCCTTGCCAGAGCGCTCCTCAACACGAGGGCCCCTGTTCAGACTCAAATGCACAAGCATGAGCCTTCCTTCAGACCCAGGTATAACTCCCATATTCTTGGGAGTTTCCATGGTTGAGTATCGATGGAAAAATGCAGCAGTAACTCACGCTCAAAGTCCAAGTCAAGTATTTGCAATTTTAGACACATCATTCTACCACACACCGCTGACTACAGGCAATCTATGATTTTTTT